GGTTTCTGCTCCAGTTTTTCTCTGGTACAGGTAACCAGAATTACATCCAGTGCCTTTGGTGTTGCACAATAACCATGATCATCTCAAGTCCACTGTAAAATGCAGCTAGCCAGCTTCCTGAGGATTTTGCTTGTGGGAGGATTTTCAAGCAGCAGAAAGTCACCAAAACCACTGATTTTTGCAGAAAGCATATTTGGGAGAGGTGCAGGCCATGGTCAGCTGTGGGCCACACCGGCCTCCAGTTGCATCAAGTGAACCTTTTGTTATCAGAGTACTCCAGTTTGCATGAGCAGCAGACCTAGCACTGGTGATACCTCAGTTTAAACGAGCATGAAGATCTCTCTTAGCTATCATTTCCCTTAGGGTCCTTGTTTTTCTGCTAACAGCCTTCATCGTGTGTGACGACTTGTGTAAGGCCATAATTCACATAGTGAAAGTAACAACTGCATCAGTAAGGCATGAATAACTGATCAGACAAACATTCTGGCTTCTGCTTGTTCCTGTATGGTAAAAAGGTCCTCTTAGAGGTCACAAAGTGACATGGAAGTACAAAGAAGGGCAATGGTATTGGCATGATCAATTCTTTTAGTCCTTTGAGACATTAGGCGTAGCCTCATTCACTGTCATGTTGGGGTTAGGGATCAAAAAAGAACGTTTAAAGCAAATGCAATGAAGCTACTATTACGTAAGTCCATTTTAGCTGAATACAAACTTCCCCTACCTTTAATCAGGGTAGTCTTGCTCAGCAGTGCACACATGCAGCAGGCAGCTTCTATGAAAAAGGCACAGCAAGATAAAAAGCCCAACTACCAGCAAAAACTCTGCATTTAACAGCAAAATGGACCCATGAATACCTGAAATACACAACTTCAAGCAGGAAAAAAGTATAGCAACAAAAGTACCACAGTGGACATGAATTCCATTCTTTGTGGTTCAACCTTTAAGCAGCATTTCCATTAGTTTGGTAGAGTCACTTTATTAAAAATGCTGGTTACTTTGGTTTGAGTAATTCTGATTGAGTAAATCTGCACAATTCTGCTTTGTGCAGATTCAATTTTGGCAGGTTCCCTAAAATCRGTTTAATCATTTTAATACAGTTTCTCATCTGTACATATCTAGATGTGCCAAAACTACTACTGTATTCAATGACTTTGTGGACTGCCTTAACAAAGTCACAAAARGGAAAATGGATGTCGGAACTAGAAAATTTTAACAAGCATTCTTTGGCTTCTACTGAAGGCKTGGAAAAAATATGTATGATAGGAATGCGGCCTTCACTGATTTTAAATTTCCACAGTAAGAACTTCCAATTTCTTTTAAGAACTGTTTTAACTCCTCATTGCGTAAAGTCAAATTGATCATGAATAAAGGTTTAGTACAATAACAGTGCCATGAAACACTATTCCCACTTCTTCAATGAACAAGCTGGCCCAGTATTACTGCTTTAACTTTTTTTTCTAGGAACTCCCCTCAGGTACTACTAATGTAACTTCCATTAGAGCACAGTATCCTTGCTCTTCCTCCAGTTAAAGGTAAGTACAGCTTAATTACAACTGTGTGTATACAGGTAAGTACAGCTTAATATACAACTGTGTGGTAGGTTAATAAGTGAAATCACAGTGCTGCCAGTCTAGTTAYTAGGATTGTAAAGATGGCAACCACAGTTGCAGAAGCAACTTTGGGTTTTATTTTTCCAAAAGATTTTAGCAAGAATTTTCAGGGAATAAGAAAGGCCAGGACACCTTTCCATAGGCTTAATCAATCTCACTATGTCAATTCCTGCAACAGCKGAAGCTAGATGGTTTACATGCAGCTATGCTTTGAGTTTGCTCACTGACACATTTTTGATCAAAGGGAAAAAAAGAAAATACTGAGAAAATGGTTATATTTTCTTCTGTCTACCTAGATGTATTTTTAATGCTTTACCCTGTGTACCTAGCTGCAACCATGCATAAGGTTTGCATATTTTAGTTATAACAAAGGCATGTTGGAACTTTTAACTAGACACATAGAAAACTGTTCTTTGTTACAGTTCACTGAACTAACCCATCTCATTTGTGAATCATTAATGATACTGACTGCTGGGTAAATTTACTTTGGTTGTAAATCTATAAATGGCATGGGAAGATGTGGTAGAATGATTTTTCATACTTAGCTTTTAAATGAGAACATTATAGTTTCAAGGAAGGTAAAGGAAAAATATAAATTACCATTTTGGAAGGAGACATAGCAACCTTAAAGAGCCAACATTGTTCACTCTGYAAGATTAATTTATCATTCTGTTTCTCGTAGTTTATTGCAGTAAGTGAGTATACATGGTCATTCACAAGTTGTCCATTTTAAGACAGTCCATTATGGGAGAACCTTTTAAAACTGCTTCTCAAGGAGTCTTACAGCCAGGAATAGAAATAATCTAAAAATCAGGGAATTCAAAACACATGTAATATTATGTGGAGTTATAAAGTGATCCATGGTAGGAAACATGCAGTTTGCATGCAAAGCATTTTCCTGAGGACCATGACAATAATTTTCCTGAGGTCTAAGAAAACAGTCAGTTTTGTTTTCATATAGACAACCTCATTCTTATCTTCTGCTGTAAGGTACAGTGTAATTAGGTGCAGTAAATACAAACAGATACATACTCAGGATGGAAGAACTATGTTTAATTTTTTCCCCTCTTATTCAATAAGATTGGTGTACATAAAGCTCTACTGAAGTATTTTCCATTATGGCAGAGCTGGTATAAATTAATAAATACAGTGTGGCTTTGCGAACTAATAGCTGTTAGTATATAAAAGCAATGAATAAACACTGGTTTCTCCTGTCCCCACCTCCCAGTCCCCCCCCCAAATTTTTATCTTGTGAGAATTTCTGATGTTTCAAAACGGGATTTTGTTCTGAAATAGGAAAACCTCAAACATCAAAACTTTATCAAAAAGTTCAAACAACTTTCATTCAGAAATTATGTTCTTTGGAGGAATATACCTGTCACGTAATCTCTTTACTACTCTTGACTAATTCACTATAGGATAGTGAGCATAACATCATGAAATACTGGCCCAGCTCAAGCACACAGCAAAACACACGTGTTTTTGCAGTATTTTTAGCCATGTTACTCTCCACTGCATATGAAACTTGTGTATTTCTTGTACGCTTTTCATTTAAGAGCTCTACATTAAAAAGAAAAACTRAATTTTGAAACACTTGAATTCAGCAACTCTCAATTCTTCATGGTAGCTTATAGAATTCACTAACAATATTTCCTGAACTACAGAGCAGGTTTCCTACATTAAATTAAGATGCAGCATAAATAAGATTGTACTGGGCAAAGTTTATTTTTAGTAAAAATCTACAAAGATCACATATATGAGTGTCAGTGACTGTGAGCTTAGAAGTTTTTAATCTGCTCATGGTTGACACAAAGCCAAGTATGTCAATAATTTCATAGTAGGATCAGCTAGAACCATTATTTTCAAAACTCTGTTTGCAATCCTGTTACAGGATTTTTCTGCCCCTAATTATTTTATTAGTTGCATTTTGTTCCTTTGATTTCTRGTCTAATTTTTGAGTATGCTACAAGGTAATTTCTTATCGCCTAAGCATGTTGGATTCTTAGGATGTGTTTTAGACATGAGCATCTGTCTCTATCTTTTGTTTTCATTTTGTCTAATGCAGAGTTTTAACAAAAGGTTCTTTTCCTTATATTAAGTACTCTGAAATAGCTTAATTGCTTGAATGTTAGAAACAATAACCAGACAAAAGAGCAAAATGCCTTTATATGTTGTACTGTCAGATCACATGACCAAGGAAACCCATAAAAACTAAAAATCATTACAGCGCAAAAATGCAATTAAATGTGCTSCTTTTATTTGTGTCTCCACCCAGGGTATAAAAACACACTGAGCCATTCATCTATCTCTACAAATCTCTAGCCTCACCATAACAATAATTAAATCCAGACTTCAAACTTTGAGCCGTGTGGGGTTTTTTGAGAAATCTCGGACAGTTTTTTCCTATTTCTGTTTCTAATTATATGAATCCATACAAATACTGGTAGTTTTATGGTGAAGGACAACTGCTGGAGCAGTGCACTTCAAAGGCATAGCTTAATTGTGCAATTATATGTTCTACAGGCAATGTAATGGAGTTATTATTTTCCAGTTTTATTTTGCACCATGCACATACATACACCTTTCACTTTTACCTTTTACATARAACAGAATGTTATGAAACAGGACAAAAATAACTTATGATTGTATGAAAAATAACTGTAACAAATCACAAAATTATATATACTAGTAGAGCAAAAGGTGTAGCTAAATCTTCTGAATGTTTGTTTTTATGACATGCAACAGACATTTCTTTAGAGCAAGATGTATCAGCCAGATATACAGTATGGCAAATTAAATTCACACGTATATATGTAAGCACGTATAAATAYGTAGATTACTCTGTAATGTTTAGGAAAAACATAATCCCACTTTATCTCCTAACCAAAGTGCTTTGTGTAAAAAATATTACACAAGATGCTGTTTTCTGTACAGATGCTGCTTTGTGTACAGAACAAAAGGATTTATTTTTCTTAAATAAAAACTTGCTCAGCTAATTTTAAATTGTGATCTTTTTCTTTTGCTTTACCTGCTTCAAGGAAACACACATATATATAAAGCCCCAAACCAAAAACAAAATTTCGTACAAACAAGAAAAAAGTGCCGTTTAAAAAATCTGCTATAAAGTTACACAGGGAAAACAGGAAATAAACAGTTAAAATGCAATTTTTATACTCATTTACACCTTTTCAAGGAAAGCTGAAAACAAGATACAGTGTGACAGATGGCCTTAGCACTGCAGTACTTCAGCATCTGGTAGCAGTAAGCCACAATGCCTATCTGTTTATGTGTACACACACATGGAAAGGGAGATCCAAATACACACATGCACTCTCATACACTCCCACTTGTACAGTACACATGTACTTTGAACATGAACTTTGTATTTTAAACTCCAGTGTAGAACCATTCCAAACGCAGATATAAACAGATCACTGAGTCTGGAAACAGCTGAATTATATAAAAGAATAATTGTAAAGAATTTCTTCTGAATATTGTTTAATGTCCATTGTCTAAAATAATTTCACCTCTTAGATAGGAATCCCTTTAGAAAGTTAACAATACAGCAGGTAGAATAACAACACAAAAATCACTGAGGCACAAGTATTTGCAAATAACTCAGTAATGCAGATAACCCACAAAACTGTATTTTCTCAAGCACCATTTTTCCTTGTAATATGTGATAAACAGGATTCACTACTTAAACATCCAAAACACATGAGACACAATGGGTTTTTTTAATTCAATTGCCCTCAGTGATTTAACTGATGCCACAAAGTCAGTCCAGTTCCTAAGACAATAATTAAATAACTGTGAAGAATCCTCTGTCTCTGAATGAGAAGTAAACGAAGGCATACCTTTTTACAGATTGGTAGCCCAAATTCCTGTGCTTGATTTGACTGTACTCTGAACCTTTTTTTTTAGGAATAAGGCTCGTGGAAAGCTGTAAATATATATATTACATGAATATGAAAGAATGAATTAATTACTTGAAAGTTTCCTTTTTCAAATGTAACTGATGAACCTCCAAATTAAAAATGCCCTTTTTGAATTCTGAACTCCCACTTTCCCTTTGGTCAGCATGTTTCAAAATGTATAATCCCCCAATTCTACATTCAGAACAACTTCTACATTCAGACACTAGAAAAAAAGATTTCARAAGATTTAAAAGTCAAGGTGGCATAGATCCAAAGACAGCAACAATATTTCAGTTTTGTAAACAGCAAGGGACAAATTCTGGGCACTCTTGTGGTTAAAAGAATTTTGAAGGATTTATATATATGAAAATAAATTGGTATATATGTATGCATACACATATGTCCATACTGAACCTGATCCTACTCTTGCTGACCTTGGTGGAACAAAACACAAGTCCACACATTTGAAGTGTCTTAGAGCGACTGATTATTTCTGCTGAACCAAATTATGCCTGTGCAGTGACCACAGAAGAGGCTTTAAGGTATCACAAAATCAAAGCTTTATTAAAAAGCGAAACTTGCGGTCAATGCACGTCAATGCAAAAGGACTGTCTTCTTAACTSCACATAATTGGTTGTGAGGGATGCCTGCTGTCATTAAACCCATTGCAAATCACATATGGTAACATCTGAACCTCTTAGTGCAAGCTGGAGCAGAGAGACACATTCACTCGTCATGTGAGAACAGAATGAAAGGGGGAGGAATTTAGCACAGAATTAACTGTTGTTTAGTCACATTACTTCTCACTGTACTTCATTTATGTGCATAGTTTATCCATATATTCTATGCAGTGGATGAAAGTCTCTCCATTAAATATTTAAGCACATGGCTGCATGAAAGAATATACTTCATGAATACAAACTTCAAAAGATTGCCAGTGTTTATAAACATCTGGACATAAATTCACCTATTCCACATAATGGCAGATTAAATTATGAATTTGAGCCAAATTGGACTGAACAACTCTCAGAATTTGCCAGGAAAACAATGTTTGTATAAGCATTTTTTCAAAGTTTATATTTTAGAAGAGTGATTTCAGAAGTGTAGTTATGGTCCAGCCTGTAAGAATAAATTTCTATCCTTACTCTATCAGGTCATGAGAATTTTAAGATGCTACACTACACAGTAACAAATCCACAAAATGGATGAACAGCAATTAAAACCTAAAAACTCAGTCCTTCATAATGTAAGAGTTGTTATCAAGGTATACAGGATCACAGTCATGACATCTCCACTGCAAAATACTCGTTTTAATTAATAACCTTGTATGTTTCATAAAGGACAACTTCATTTGCTAACACCCTGGACTAAATCTGAGAACTATTGAGCCTGACATTGGGCAGAAAAACCAAAACTATCAAACCAGTTTTATCTCTCTATGTAACCAGAGGAAACATAGTACAATTAAGAGTAGTCCTTCTTTCTGAAAATGYGTTATGGGAAAAGATTAGGACAACCAAAATTTAATTGAATCACTATAGACAGCTTTTTAAAAATATGTGTGGAATTTAGGGAGGAATTTTTCCTAGAAAATATTTTAAACCTTCTGGCAGAATACTATAGCACATACAGTAACAATGCTCTACAATCTAATTTAAAAAGAAATTGAAAGCTAAAATGCATTTATTCTTATCTGGCAGATGTGCTAAATAGAGACAAAGCCTATGCAACTCCTCAGGTATTTACCCCTCCTTATTCATGCGTAAAGCATTTGGTCAGAATTAATATTGGAAAAAAAGTAATAGCCATATTGTATGGCTTAAAATACAGCAGGAGGAAAAGGACACCTACCCTGAGGCCTCTTAGAAATCCAGTACCAACAACCTTTGATCCTGAAAGAAGCCACACCAACACCTCCAATAGGTAGTGTCAACATTTATGTCTAATTTCTCTCCCTTTTGGAAACTGGTGTGTGTTAAACTTTGGAACTAACACATACAAAGAGGTTGCGCAAAAACTGTATGCCTTTGAAATGTTTGTAATATGCTCTGGTTTCACTTCTTTTCCTTTTTTGTAAAAGGAGTTTTCTAAAGCTGTGTTCTTCAGTAAGTGCACCCATTCAGCCTGAAAGGGTTACAGCTGACAACTAGTTTTATTTGGTCTCTAAATTCCCTTTGAGAAATTAAAAGGAAGTAATAATAAAACAGTATAGCTGCTGTACCACAGATGGGAAGAAAAGAAACAACTGCTAAGGTTTTGGCAAAGCTTGTTCTCTCCAAACATTCTCCTTCTCAGTTGGCTGCTTGATTAAATGAAGAATGCTTGATAATTGCTTTTTTCCTCTCCATTATGTATGTATATCTAGTCATATCCCCATACATACATGGCAGTTTCATGAAGAGGGATAATTTGTAGGGAACTGTCMGAAGGGCAAGATGAAACAATCAAGTTCTTGTAACTGGATATACATTACTTTAGCCTTCAGTGTACACAGAAGAAAGCTGGCTGGAACAACGATCCACTGCATTTACTTGTAGGAAACTGCTGTCCTCTGGCATGCTGCAAGCTGAATCACCAAAGATACCTACAGACCCAGCTGGAAAGTCATACACTGGGAAAAAAAAAAACAAACAAACAAAAAAACAAAAACCAATGCAAAAAAACYCTAGTTAATAAGTAGTATAATTATTTAATGAAGTATGTCCTAATACTTATAGAGGTGGAAATAGTTTTAAATCAAATACACAAAATAAATAAGCAAAAATACCTATGAAATTAATTATATAACTTACTGCTTACCAAGGAAGGAATTTTCAATTCTGTCAGAATCAGGTCTGAGGAAGAGCAGATTTCATTGCAACTAACAGTTCCCCATTTAGTGGGTGTTAGAATTCTGGTAATTTAAAAAATAAACTCCATGCTTGCTTAATAGATTTCATCATATTGAACACAGGATAAAAGACAACAAAATACTGTAGAATTTAATTGCTGCAAAACAAACCCTSGCCCAGAAATTACCACCTTTTACAAATGGCAGCAGTAAGCACAAGAGTAGCTGTTTGCAGACACACTCCCATCTTATGGATAACATGTTTATATACTGTGAGATGCCTTTTTAAAATTACAGGTGCACTCGCTTTGCAATGCACTACTGAAGGACCAAGATGCAAAAGGGACTTCAAAGCACAAGAAATGTTAAGTGAATTCATCCTGTGTGGAAGGACAGTAAAAGACGTGGGCATTAGTTGTGCCCTAAGATTAGGCTGTCTTCTACTGATCCTCGGCACAGAAATAACTATCACCCTTCCAGGGCTGCATGCAAGCTCCTTAAGTACTTTTCATCTAGGCACAGACTAAATTAAGTGCACACAGAAGAGTGTGCATCCAGGCAGTTTTTGCCCTGGAAATGGGAATGTCTRTCATGACACCGCCATCACCCACCCAAATGCACAGCTGAAGCATATCTGCCAAAGTTCACAAACTGTACACAATCATCCATGAAGTCACCAGCTGTTATTTACCTTTGATACCAGAATGACCTGAAAAGCTTCGATGGAAAATGCCAAGCCCCGCCTGGCCAGCTGATGTGGGAGCTAAGGAGTCTTCAGCAGGAGGAACCATGTTGCAAACAGTGTCTTGAATATTCTTCTGAGTGTCAGCATAACGTGGAGGGCAGAAAGTCTGAAGCTGTCCATAAAAACCTGGAACAAGAAGAGGGCCATCAGCAGAAGATATGGACAGAGATACAAAGGAWAGTATGTGGAACTATATCCGTGAGAATGATAGAAACCTCAACTGCTCTACCACCAAGTCATCAGTAATTTTAAGCAAACAAAATATTGATAGGATGCTCTCTAAAACTTCCTCAAGCTGCCACTAATTTCAAACACAGTCTGCTACATGAACATCCTGATTCTACCAAGACCTCTGAGAGGCACTGACTGGCTAAAAGCAGAAATTTTAAAAGAAATTTCTCCCTGTACTGTGCAATTCTGTGTCTGAACTGATMCTCTTTAGTCACACTGTGCATCTGCCTCAAAAATCTGAGAAAATCCTAAATTCCAAATAAAAGAAGATTATCCAAATAAAATCTGAATAAAATCCAAGGGCCTATTACYGGTACCAAGACAGTGAGCTGATATGACGGTCATGCATAGAGACMCAGATTAAAAAAAATTATATGATGGAAAAAGAGCACAGAAAAATAATGTAACTTTCCTAGATACAAGTTCTTTTCACAATTCAGTGTCAATTACACATCTAAAATAGAGAGCCATAAACAAGAAACRAGCATATGTAGCTCTCTTCCCCTCAGTTATTGAGCAGTATTCTAAATGTCTTTATGTGCATTGGCAGTGTATCAAACCACAGTGTAGAGGTCTTAGAACTGATATCAGTTCTTAGAATGTGACACAGCAAAATCTCCTWATTTGGTGTCAGAACCTCTTATCTTTATTCACAGAGTGCCACGCCCATGATAATCTACAGYACAGGTCAATGCAGGATAACATGAAACCATATCCAATTCAGGCACTWGACCCTAAAAATATTTGAGATATCTGTTAAAGAACTAACTGCAGCATCAGTTTGATGTGTTTTCATGGAGCACTGAAAAACCAAAGGTGAACAGGTTGTTTAATAAAGTTCTAGCAACTGAACATTTCAGCTATGGCTTGGAATTGTACAAGTGTGTCTCTCATTAAACTGTTTAAAACACACACATGCACAAGGTTGCATCAGTTGTATTTCTTTGAATCAGTATACTATAGCCAAGATCCATGAAGTCATGATATAGAACCATCAGCTATTTTTCKGACATGACAGCATGACTTCCCTAGCAAAGCTGAATATTTTTGAATATGACAAAATAGCTGTCATATTCAAAATGACAAAATTCAACTAAGAATTGCTTTTAACAGCAAGAAGTTCTTGCTCTTTATCACATAAAGAGCCTCGTCCTGAGAGATGCTGAACATCTAAAAAGCCCAGGTAGACAGCCCAGCTCAAATGCACACGTGCAGTTGTGGTCCACATATATTTGTAATAGCTTCTTTATATTGTTSAACTTTTGTGGACAAAGACTTCATTATAGATGTGTAATGAAGGATTACCAGAACTATAATTTCCATAACGTGGGAAGTTTGTGATGGACACATCTATTTCCTCCTCAGTCACACCTCTCTGCCTGTCACAAGACAGAATATTTTCTCAAGAAAATAATTATAATTGCCCTTAAAAAATATACACCATGTGTGAGTAGCCTTTGCTTCCTATGCCTTTGGTCTAAAATAGTTCAAGACAGTGTTTCTTTGCAGTATACTTCTACATGTCCACTAGGCAAATTACAGAAACACCAAGTAATCATGTGGTACCATCTGGCTGTGAAGAGCCAAAGGGAAAGAAAGCGAGAGAGGGATCTAAATCACACACTGTACTAACACATATTTGCAAATATGAAAAAAATAGAAATGCTTCCATCAATTGAAATTTTATTTGTAATTTGAAGATAGCTGTTCCCAGTAGAACCGTCTGTATAGAGGCACTAATACAACTAACTCTATCAGCTAACAACATTTTTAAAGAAATGACAACCTTTTTAAAAGAAATTAATATTTTGCATGGTATTTTTTATTTCTTCCATTATTCAGACAGTCCTGGTAATCACCTTAACTCACAAACACATCTGACAAGAGTTACAGGCACTATTTTAAAGGAAAATCAGATTTTAAGTGCAAAAATGTTCACAGTATCAGAAGCATCCAAAAGCAKGTCAGCCACGACCATGCCCGAAGAAGTTTTACCTTACTCTATACTACAAGCACAGTAAATTTGCTCACTGAGAAGAGGGAGTTTCTGTTGCTGTTCTTTTCTTTGTACCTTGCACATGTCTTCTGGCTTGTCTCGGAGCAAGAAATACCTTATTCTTGCAGCTGCCAGTGTGCTGAAGATGCCTGTGTCTTCAGACACCTCTCCTGAGAGCAGTTTTTTGTGGCTGAAAAGCATGGCCAGTACAATACAAGTGTTGGGCCAATTGTTGCAGATTTCCAGCACTCGTACTGTCTTCTGTCTACAAACACATAGTACTCCTGTGTACTGCTCCATAGTACTGCTGTTTACAACAGCATCTAGCTGGGAAGCTGTCATCCCAGTCTCCAGGTCAGGATAGCTTCAGATTTACTGAATGGTAATCCAATAAAAGGTAACACAATCTAACGAAAGGAAAAGAAGAGCTTCACTTCTACAGCTCAGCGACGCATATAACATCATTACTTCCAAACATCACRTGCAAGTATTGTGAATTTCACAAGAGCAAGAAAAGGGAATATTTAGTCAATTATGTAATATTAATTGAGGCAAGAGAAAGCGTTCCGTGGCTTTACTGTGTATGCTGAAAATCACTCAGAACAAATAATGAAACAGTGTTCTTCCAAGAAAGAGATGTTTCACAATACAAGTASCTATTAGATAGAAGAAGCCTGTCAGTCTTTTTATCTCATACATCATTTCTCTCTAAAGGATAACACTCTGAGATCACCACGATCTTTTAAGATGCTCAGGCTTTCAGAAACTGAGTGTGTTTAGAACTTGTTTTCTTCAAAAGCTTTTGGGCAATGAAACTCTTTCTTCCTTGATAAAGCCAATTTAAATGTAACTGACAAGTTTAAGACTACATACTGAGAGAAAAATGTCACCATTGTCTGGTAGCAGATTGAGCTGAAGTGGCTGTAGTTACAGTACTTTAAATCTTGAAAAGGGCAGGTTATGAACTGCAGGATATAGAAATTAGCAGAACTTCCCACAACCACTTATTGTATACAAAATATTAAGGTCTGGAGATAACTCTGCAATGTTTTTCTGCATTGTGATGATGTGACCAAGGAAGACAGAAACCTTTGTATTGCTACTGGGAAAACACGACCGTGAACTCTTGAAACACCTGCTTTTGAGAGTTTAGGTAAGCCTTTAGGGCACACAGGACAACACTTTCAGTGTTGCACAGGATGAGACAGCTGTGCTTAAGCTGGAGAGAGTGCATTCTGACAAAATACTTCATACAGTGACAACAGGTTACTAAATCTTTGAATAGAAATATTTAATACCCACAATGTGGGTACTGAATTGCMCTGTATTATATCTTCCAATACTAAAAAAAAAATTGAATCATTAAATTCCAGCCTACATGGTGCTCATACCAGTTTTAAGTGCAGAGATCTTTAGAATTTGAACCTTGAGCTGCTGTCTATGTGCATATAATTCCTGTCAGCAGCACCTATCTTCAACCTAGGCTTTCCTAGGAGAGTGATGTAGACAAGCAATGCTAACCTGAGACTAAGCATGGTACAGGTTTAAGGTCCAAGCCCTTGCAGTTAGCCATTTTTTGATCTCAGATGCTAGTATTAAACTGTATCTTAAATTTGGACATGCAACAGGGCTTCAATTCAAATGTGACATTCACTCAGATGAGGGTCTCTACTGGGCTTKCTTCTTGTATAAAGAATGGTGACCTGCATCTGTTGTCCTTTTAAGTGCTCTTTGGACTGTAGGAGAGGGAGATGGGAATAGGGAAGTATTGTTCTGGCCTGCCCTAAAGAGAAGATGCCCAAGATGTGAAGGTTGCTGCACAAGCCAGTGCAAGTCATATGTGGAGCAACAACGAATCCAGGGAGTTTTGTGAACCTCTGGAAAGTCTTCTACTTTGGAGCAACTGGTTGTGATTCCAGCTTCTAGGATTCCTGAAACTCCAAGAAGGTGGTAAAGCCATCTGTATGACTGAAAGACAATTTTTGTTCCTGGCTGGAAGACAGACCTTAATGTCTTGATGCCTTTCCAGAAAAYGAGTTCTTGCCAAATGTTCAGCAAAAAAGAGCACCATGTAAAATGTTTTGTACTGTGAAAACAGAAGGGCTAATCTGATCCCTTGGTCCTGTATGAGGTATTTACTAGACCTGTTCTGACTTGTTTTCACATATGTCAAGTGACAATGAATTGCTTATCAATAAACTTCACCCTGTACTGGCCATACATTATTAGTGAAGCTTCAGTCAGAGAGCCAACAAAAATGCTTACATCCACTGGTAAATTTGTTCTTCTAATACTAATCAGTGCTGTAAAAAATTACTATTTTCTGGAAGAAAACCACCTGTCTCAGATTCTGCTCCTATGTGGTCTACTATGACACAAAGAATGTAACAGGATTGGCACTTTCCTTTCTCTCCTCTACATCTATGAACTCGGGGAGATGCCTGATSCATCTCCTGGCTAGAGAGACTACTTTAATCAGTGGAAGAAAATAAAAGCAGCCTTGTTTTTCCCAAGATGTCTCCTATGATATCTACAATGATAATTCTCATGAAGCCTGCTCAATAAGCAGAATCCTAAGGCCTTTAAAAGTCCAGTCTGCTATGTACCTTGTATCTAATTGTGGCAAACCTTACATTTAAACAGTGGAGAGGAAACACAGTACTGCTGTCAACACACTCCTGAAATGTTAAGGTAATTAGCATTCAGTCTCCATATCAGCTAGGAAAAACAAACAAACAAAACAACCCACCAACAGTTAATTTTCTTCTTGGCTACAGAAGAAATATGCAGGATTGAAGAAAGGGAAGTCTTGTAGAAGCTGGTTACACAGTGCAMGTGGAACACAGCTTCAAGGGTGTTCCGTGCTTACAGAAGAATTCTCCATTTCCCCACGAATGCAAGGGAGAAAAATATCCCACCTCTTGAAAAACTGGTTAATACTTACATGCTAAATCAGRAGGGATTAGAAGTGTAATATTAGAAAGTTAAAAGCCATCATGGCATTTTCTGCCATTCTGTTTCAAGAACAGCACTGAAAATAAGTCTGAAGAGAAAGCTCTAACTCCATACTAGGATAAATAACAAGCTAAGGTGAGAATTTTAAGGAAGTCTGAAGRCAGGGTTCTGAAGGCTACTTTCCASAGTCTTTCAAAAGGAAAAGTGTCTTAAAATACCAGTGTGACCCCCTGAAGGACATCTATTTGGCGACAAGCAACAGTGGCAAACAGCTAACATTTGTGATGAAGAATCTTCCTTCTTACCCTGGATGTGAAGGGCATTTGGCTGAAAAGAAGGGCTTTCTGCTGGCTGGTATATCTTCAGAGGCATTCCTGCGGGCTGCTGAAGCTGAGGAGGTTGTGGAGTCTGTCTCTGCATCATGGGATGTTGAATGGACATTCTCTGGGGACTAATGTGATGAGGAGAAGGAGCTGGAGCAACAAACCTAGAAGTTCAAAACCACAAAACTCCAATAAATCCCCAATACATAAAAGCTAAAGAACGTTTTAATTCTATTTACATCACTTTAGTTAATGTATAGATACAGACCTCCAAAATAACRGTGTGCAGCCCAAATAGTGGTAACATAGTTTTAAATGATGACATACCATTACATTTGACAACTGGGAAATTAGYAGGCTGAACTGCCCCTTTTCATGGGAAACTACTTTTAATGAACTCCTGTGGGTGTATCCAAGTCTTAATTGGAGGTGATGCCTCATGAAGGGTCTGATTTTGGAGACACTGCCAGCTGTTCATTTTAAGGCTTTGTATCAACTTCATCTATGAATAAACAGTTGTTTTTCCTCACTGACAGTGAGGGTCAGTTCAGGTCATTGGTCACTGATGATTTCCGTTTTAGGTTCAGGTTCAGGTTTTGGGCTCTAGAAACCTTTGMATGTTACATAGAGCTATTTGAAAATAAACAACCTGATGTCAATATAATACAGATAAATGCAAATTGTTAAATTGCTTCTAGAATCTGACCACATCAAAATGTACATCTGGACTCAAAGTATAAACTTACAAGCCTGGCAGAGGAGAGAATGCTTGAGAGMAAACCTGGTGATGCAGCTGCCACAGAGGTTCGTCACCTCAGTGGTCTGTTTAGCATAGCTCTGTCACTGCTGGCACTACAAGGATACACCCTACTTTTGAAGATTTTATGCAAGAGTTTYATGGAATTTGATTTTTTACTGATGCTTTTCTACATTTCTTTAAAACTGCACACCTCAAAGTACATTACAGATAKGTCATGTGATCTTTTTTGCAGACAGAAATGTTGTAGGAGCCTCTGTCTATGCCCCCAAACCATTCACTAGACTGATGGGATCTGGCTAATTAATGAAAACTCAGGAATGGGTTTGGGCCACTTTTTCATCAATGAYAGAAGAGCTGGAAATTTTCTCAAACACCAAAAAAGAACCATGGTATTTCTGCAAGAGGATGAGCAGAATGTGACATAATATTCCTGTTGCAGAAGAGCCTGTTTCTCCATTACTGAAACCAAGCTGCAAATCTGYTGAGAAGTGTCCTTCAGAGGCTGCTCCTAGGAGGGATCAGAGCCAGCAGTTAACACAGCCTACCAGTATTCTAAAATGTGAAGCCTGTTGTCCTGAGACTAAACCACAACATACTAGATGACTTTTTTTTTAAACCTAATAAAAAAGCTTGCTTTTCCTGAAGAAGCATAAGGAAATTTTTATCACACCCTGAATGCAACACAAGGTGCAACTGCAGTAGTAGCTCCACAAAACAACGCAGGGCAAGGTCATCATATAGGTTCTAACTGTTTTAAAAACCAAGKCACCTGAGATCTTTTATGCTGAAGGTAAGAATCTGTTTCTGCCACACATAATCTGTGTGATTCTGACTTGTTTTGAAAGGTGTTTACTACATTTCTGGTGACCCACAATCTACATTTGGAGTGTAACAAGTGTCAAGATGAACTCTGGATAATTTACTACCTAYTCTGTTTTCTGTGAGAAGCACATTTTTAAGCATATTAGATTGAATTTGGATGGTCCTAGTGCTGATGTGACATAACTTCATAAACATCCATTACTTCAGAAATGCTACATAGATGGATGAAACAATACACTGAGCCACTGAGTAGTTAATGTGTCAAATATTTCATTGTTCCAGGTAACTGATGCAGAGTAGACTGGAAGACATATCAGGGAGGAACAGAACAAAGCATGCATGTATTTCACAATAATACTAGAGRACTAAAATTAATACTAGTTTTTTCAGAAAGAGAAATCAGTAGTTACACTGTGATAAAAATATTTAAATGAAAATTTAATGATAAAAAGAGATTTTTAAGAAGTGCTATAACTACCTGGTTATATCTCTCCTGAGTAATAACTAGAGTTATTTTTTGTATAGTAGGCACTTTATCATTCACACATTTCATTCGCTCACTTAAAAAAAAAACCCATGATTATCAGGCAATCCTCTGAAGTGCCCCATGCCTGGAAAGAAGTCAATGTACTGATTTGAAAACCATAGGATTAAGGTCTTTAGTTAAAGACCTTCTTCATGGCAGTTCTTTGCTCCACACAAAGCACTTTGTTACATGTGAAGGTTGGATGTTTCAGCTTCTTCGTTCAACTATTCAGTCTTTGGCTTCCGCAAATCTGGCCTGGAGCTACTTATTATTTTACAGCAAAATCATAAAAGGAATATAATCACATACTCAAATAAGCAGAAAGAAGCACTGTTGCAGAACTTATTATGGCATAATGGTACCACTAAACTGAACGGTTTGGCTCTAAGTTCTTCTTATCAGTCTTACAGTCTCTAGAAATTCMTGTGAAGCTGGGATGCATCATGCTTTAGAGACATACTGCTAGCTCTGGTTCACTGGAGGGCAAAAAAATTACCTGGAACAAGTCCATGAAAAATTTTGTTCTGTTCTCACATTGACTAAGAGGCTCAAAAGCAAGAAGAATATTTTGGATAATTTAGTAAGTAAAGAATTTTAAAATACTAATTTCAAGCAGTTGGTACCATCCGTTTGGGGGRTATGTTAACTGTGCCATATAAACCCATAATTTTTGGTCTGAGTTTTATTAGATTGCTCTTTCAGCTTTCTTGTATGCTCATGCCTTCTCCCATTACAGAAGGGAGAGAAAAGGAAGTGAAGTACATATTCTTTTTTAAACAAATGCTTTTAGGTACACATTTGGTACCTTCATTGCAGTGTCTTGTATTAATGGAGCACTCAAAGCTAGTATTGAAGAGCTGGGACAAGCAAAATGTAAACCAGCACTTTCATTATTTATATTCTCTCCTTTGATAAATGAAGTTGCTTCTGCAATCTGAACTCTCTAAATGACTTGCATTATGTGTACACAGGGTTTTGTACACATAATGAATGCCGTGTAAGATGTGTTCCATGTTTGGCTCAGTTTCTCACATTAATAAGGCTTAATCAAGTCCACACTCTCCCTCACGTCACCTAGAAGAGGAAGACACAAAAGAAACCCTTCCAATATTCCTCTATCCCATGATATCTGGAGCTGTAGAGAAAGTGCTGATTCTTTTCCGCTTCTGTCTCTCACAAACCTGAGTCTGCTGTCCAAACAGCGGCACAGATTTGGCCTCCAGGATTATCAAAGTAGCCACACCAGTTTGGATCAGCYTCTGTCCAACAAATACGCCTTCTGCTGGAGCAAGTGCTGGTCAGCCTGTCCTAGCTGTGAAATGACCCCGGGCATGCAGTGTTTCAGGAACCACACAGCAGAGAACCACAGAATGACTGAATAGTTTGTGTTGGAAAGAACCTTCAATGGTCACTTAGTGCAACCCTCACTAGCGCAAGGGGAACAAATCCTCTTGCACCGGCAAATCCTGTAGTCTGCTCAACAATGACGCTGGGATAAACAGGATGATTCACACCTTTTAAATACTCTATCTCTGCCACCTTCTCTATTGAAGGTTTGTTCAGTTCACATTTTCACAGCTATCATAACACCTATGAAATGATGTTACAGCCCACTTACAAGGCCCTTGGGTGAGTGTACTGTATTAGATTCAATGTGCAGATTCTGCMTTAGTTCTTTTAAACATTGCCCTTAATTTTTACCCCATGTTTTGTAATCAAACCAACACTGCTGTAATACTTTATTCCTTCTCTGAATTTAAATTGCAGTTTGTCACACTACCTAAATGAAGAYACTGGCACTTTTTCTTTAATCCAAAGCAGCTCCACATATGGGAATTAGCAGGCATAGCCCTTTTAGAGAGACTATGTAAATGTAACACACGAGAAAGGAGTATACCATTTTGGGTTTTTATTATCATATAGAGTACTGTATTCATGTCTGAAATGCAGACAATGAATTGTTTGTGCCTGCTATGGTTCTACAGCAGTATAACCTCAGAAATGGACAAAGATCATTGTCTTTTATAAAGACATTTATAAGTGTAGCAACTATTAATGTGCGCATGCCTGTCGCCTCATGCTCTGGCAAACTGGGTATGGATATTAGATAAGTCATGCATTGAAAAGAAAACTGGACAGAAAAGCCTGTGTCAGGCAAGAGAGGACAGACAGTCCCAGAGGGTGTGAACAGAGGGCCAGAGCTAGAGCAAGGGAAAAAGACCAGGATCACAGGGGCAGGAGAGGGGAGGAAGCACTGAACAAGTAGGTGAGCTCCACTGATCAATAGGCAGTAAGTTCCATCTCAGACTGATATACAAAAGGCTGGGCAACCAACTAGTGCTCCAGAACTGGCTGAACTCATACATGAAGCCTGAAATAAAAACGTAGTTTCACCTGCTGTTATTTTCCTGAGATATCATGTTCTTCCATCTTCCTGATACAAGGCAGAGTGAATATTGCATTCATCCAAAGAAATTACGCTCATTTACCAGTAATTGAAATCTAGTGAATGTTGTTTTTAGGTTTATAATTGGAGACTTTGTACTCTTCAAATTACTGTCATATCTGTCACTCAAAGAAATGAAACACTTTGAAATACATTACTGAAATACAGCAATTTATCAGTTAGAGATGAAAAARGAATTTACAAAATAATGTTTAAGTACCCATAAGCATAAAGTAAGAGTTTAGTATTTTGTGTGATGATGTCATTTCCTGACTTTTCCACTAAAATCCTRTTTACTTAGGTCTCTTCAGTCTTGTGATTTGGTAGACTTCTGGTTCAATGAACTATAGATTTCTATATCTGTATTACCATACACTACCTAAATCAGTGGAAAGGCTGATGAAAAAGATTTAGGGAATGTCTCAAGATGAAAATAAAAACATGTCCAAGCAATCGGTTTTTATGTCACTGAAATATCTAAAATCACAGATTTTACAAAACCTAACCAGCATATAAACAAAACATCCATAACTGTCATAAAATAAATCCTGACTATAAATCAAACTCCAAAACTAGTGAAACAAAAATTTGCTCATTATCTATTGTCTTCATAAAATGCCAAGTGAAAAAAAAAAAAAAAAAAAAAAAAAAAAAAAAAAANAAAAGGCAATTTCCTGAATAAATATTTGCTATTGAGAGAATATTGACAGAATATGACTTTTTCCCACAAGTAAACAGAAACATGAATCTCAGGGCTCCCATTCTGTAAGGTTTGGCTGTGGTCACCTGAAGTTCAGTGTGCCATCCAAGTATCACTTTCCTTGCTTGTGCCATTCATGGGGATCAAGAGGGGATTGGAGGAAGTCGCTGGACTGGAGACAGATGGAAAGTCTCCCTGCCCAGGCTGGAGTAACATTGTCCCTTTTASCTCTCCTTCCCCTGACAAGCCCCTACTTGGAGTAGTTGCTAGGGCTGCCACCAGTGACTCTCTGTCACCAACAATTGTATTTGCACCTATCCTGGCAGCTCTGAACAAAGTCCTGCCTCAGACTCAAGGTGGGAAGCACAGGGTCTTACCTCTCTGAGTCCACAGCTGCGAGAAGAGGTATCTGAGGAGGATGCAGAGGACTACCCTGTATGTCATGTCCTGGGGAGGAGTGGCTGCTCGGGTGGGACAAGGGGATCACAGCTGCTGAAAGTAAAAGGAGAGAAATAACCTTCATCAGGCTGGAAACAACATAGATAATTGACCCAACAATCACAACATTGATAGCTGACCAAAGACTCCAACACCTCCTCTCAAGCTGTAGCACCAGCTCTTTGCAACAAAGAAAATCAAGGGTTTTCTTAAGTGTTGTTTTCTGTAAAAAGGGAAGAAGAAAACCCACATGAAAATAACCAAGTATTCTTTGCTGCTTCCAAATGGTCTTTGAAATACTTCAAAACCAGGCATGAATGATCACAGCCGTGCTCCTTGTCTTGGAATTCTTTGTCTGAACAAGGCTGCAAATCTATATTTTTCTGTTGTAGAAGAGGCATCAATTCCTAAGACACACATTTTAAGAACTAGTGAACAGAAATATCAGTTTCAAAAAATGTAAAATGCTTTCTACATTTTCTCCTCATCTGTAAAAAATCACAAATTTCTTGAAGTAGTACTACTATTATTGCCCCAGATTCCTCAATAATACGTATAAAAATTTTAAACCATATTTAACAATTTAATAATTTTCTGAGTTGYCTCTTGTATTTTTTCCAATAAGGAAAGGCTCTAGATGACAAAAAAGCAGTACAGGACTTTGTCCAAATGTCCAAATTAGTTGATCCCAAATCCTGTAACCTTGTTTTCTTGTAACCCTTTTTTTTAAAAAAAAAAAAGTTTAAATCAACCAAATTTAAATCWTTGTATCTCTGAAGATCCAGTTACCAAACTGTTCTATTGACATTGGTGTCAGGTAGCTTATGCTGATGTTGAATGGCAGCCAAATACATGCTCTTAAATATTTTATGAACCCAGAGAATGAATTAGATAGGCTGTCTAAAAGATAAAGATGATCTCTCCTGTTTGTCTGTCATATCTTCCAGCCTCCGAAAAAAAAGTATTGTTCAGGCCTAGTTTACAGAACAAAATTGTACCTACAAAAATTACATTATGCTAGTGAATATGTTGGAACTAATGATCTCAGTTTCTTAGTAAAATCCTAAAATTTAAACCAGTTCCCCAGGGAGCACTGTCACCAGTAAAACATCTTTCTAGGCTAAAATATCTGCATGGATGCTGCAATCTAGCAGAAGAAAGACTGCTTTAGGGGTAGCTTCACCATAGATAAGTCTTGAAGAAAATGATTTCACAGGTCATAATTTTCTCATTCACAGGCGTGAATTTTGCAACACAAAATCAAAAGGGTGAAAATTCACCTCATCTCCCACATCCTCAGTCTATTTCTGGAAAGACTCTATTAATCCTTACAAGCCTGCCTTTGTGACACATTAGATATTCACCACRCTAAGGCAGAGTTAAGAAAGGCTCACGAGCCTAATTACGTTGTAGCCTCATTAATGAGTGGTCCTGGACATTTTTTAACTGGTGGAAATGACAGACAGTGCAAGATAAAACACAGGAAAGCACTTGGGGAATACAAATATCCCATACAGATGCCGTAGAGGTTATGTCAAAGTTTAGGGGAAGTTGACACTGATGATCAAAGCTGGAGGAGTGAAGGCTGACCGTGGCACCAGACTCTGCTGTTTGCTAATTTGTGCATGGACCAGAGCCTCCTAATCACAATCCAAGTGATGAGATACATCTGATAGTAGAAGACATCCCAAATCTTAACAGAGGCACAGAGGAGGCAGATCCCACTTAAGACACACGTAACTCACAAAGAAAGCACTGAGGGCATTTCCCTGCTAAGACAGAGGAATGTTTTTTTTTTTTTCTCCTGCTCTGCTCATGCACCCCAAAGGTAGTTTCTTCCACATTTGTCCCTCAGGATAGCAACAAGACAAATGCAGAAGGAGAAAATATAGACTGAACTTCTGAGATTATTTTATCTTACATGCAGGAGGAATAAAGTACTGAAAAACAACCAAGCACACATTCTGACAGAAAAAGCAGAGAGAATATTTAACAGATCAGGACACTGAAAAGGAAAACCCTGACTGTCTAAATAAAAGGAGATTATTTAAATTATTCCTTGCCAAAATAGGGTAACTGGCATTTTATAATGACAAAACTAACAAAATTGTGTAAAAATATACAACAACTTAGTTCACCAGTACCATGATCTTAACACTTAAAACGAACCTGTTCAGGATGAGGAGTAAAAAGGCTGGACTATGACTGGGCCTTCAGCACAAGGCAGAAACAGCTGTTCTTCCTGATGTAGCTCTTCTCGGCCACAACCATGATTAGTGTTCCAGGCAAACGTTTTTTGAGTCATACTTACATGTTTTTAAGCTGGTTCAGGCTTAAAAATGTGCTGTGGTGGTACAGGGTCCCACAGCACTGCCCAAGACCTGGTGACTGTCTCTGGGAAAAGGTTATCTGCAGCCAGGCACAGGCAGCCACTGCCAACCTTCTGGCTAGATTTCCCAGCCATTTCCCTGTACCTTTTTTTTTCTGCTTCTGATGGAGACACAGTACACAGTGTAAAGCATGAGGTAACTACTAGAGGACCAGGTAGATTATTTGAGTATGTCCTGGCTACAAAAATGTATTCCTTTATGCAGGGTATGTTAAAAGCTCACAGCACGACAGAAGAGTGTATCTGGGCTCCCACTATCTTTGTAATGAAGCCTCCAAAAGAAGCACAACAAATGGCTGTGTGGGAGACCAGGGAACACCTACTGGCAGTGCAACACGTCTTCTGGCAGGGCAACTTCTTTCAAGGCACTGTGTTAATAAAAGCACATCCGTGGGCACCCAAAGAAGTAAAATCACAATAGTGGCAACTTCTGACTGGCAAAAATGCAACTATTAAAACTTCCCAGCATAGAAACGGCAGTGGTCCAAGCTACTTCCTGAATCTTGTAATACTATTTGAAGGGAAACACTGTCAGGCATTAGCAGTGTACAGATACACAGCAGTCAAAAAATAATGTCAGTAACAGTCTATTTTACTAGTAAAGATTGGKAAGAACTCTGGACACTATTTTAGAAACTGCTGGATAACATGACTGTTTTTCCTTGTGATGTGTGGTTCTGTGTGTGGCAAGCTTTCCTAGTGGATTGGTTGTTACATGTGAGTTACTTGCTCAAAGTGTTGGCAGTAAATTTCTTCACAAAGCAATATGTCTTTTCAGTGCCTGATCCCATTACACACCTGATTCAAATGGTATGGAACTGAACAAGTGTTCATGACAGCCAGCATGCTCACTGACACCAAAACAGAACCACCACGTAGGTAAGCACACAAAGATGCAGAATTAAGTGTTGGTTTTAAGTGGTTTTAAACAAAAAGAGAAGATGTTTAGATGAGAYATTAGGAAAAAATCTTTTACTGTGATGATGGTGAGGCACTGGAACAGGTTGCACAGAGAAGYTGAGGATGCTCCATYCTTGGAATTGTTCACAGCCAGGTTGGATGGGTCACTGAGCAACCTGGTCTAGGGGAAGCTGTCCCTGCCCATGGCCAGGGGGTCAGGGACATACGATCCTGATCCTTAAGAACTCCTCCAGTACAAACCATTCTATGATTCTATCATTCTATGATTATGAAACAAAAAGGCTTCCTAAAAGAAGGATTCTCTCTCTCTCCATGCAAGATAAAGTAACACCTTTAAATCAGTTTTAAACAGATTCAAATATTAAAAGAAAAACCCCAGTCAACCCCAAACTAATTCAAACCAAAGAATTGTGAATGTTGTTCTTCTGTATTCCTTAAAAAGTCCAAGTTACAACATAATTTACAAGATAGATATAGATTATAAATCCTGACTGTGAACCTTTGATTGGGTGACAGGCACAAAGCTTCAGCCAAAGAAATGAAGGAGCCATGTTTTCTTTTCTGGAATCTCATCACAGATCAATTCATAAGGACACATAAGAATTTTCCATGAGAAAATGGAAAATCTCTGCAAATGATTSTCCATGAGAAGCAAAATCCACATATATCCTCATAATGTATAGAACAAATTTAGGTGGTTGCAAAAGAAACAGACTATTCTGAATGAGGTTTCTCTAAGGAAAAAAATGCAAAAAGGTAGCATTTAAAATGTTGCAGAATCTAAGSCCTAAAAAAAGTTTTCAAAGGAGTTAGAAACCTGTAATTTCGTGAAACAGATTTAAATGCAGAAGAATCACCCTCTTCTTTGCAAATTGCCAACAATGCTCTAACTGGAGAGCCTACTGGACTTACAACCATCAAATTAGCACTCCTAAAATCTATTTCTGCCACCAAAACTGACCCAGAAGACAGAGCTGGACAATTAATCACAGTTTGGAAGCTAGAGAGGAGTGCTCAGCAGATTGCTCCGGAAATCTCCTGTGAGAATATCTTGGAAATCTCCTGTGAGAATATCCTCAATTTCTGCAAATCTAATCTCAGCTCATCTGATATACTGTCCCATCCCAGCTTCTGTTCTGTCTAGGAACTTGAAAAGAAAAGGAAAAGTTGGGTCTTTATCATCTCTCAGTTTTGCACGTTACACTGCGTGAAGCTATTAAATATTTTTTTTTAAATCTCAACATTCTTCACGATCCAACTCCCTCTCAATGYACAATGTAAAATAAGTAACTATAACCAATGACATGTTCCTAGAAGTCCTCTGGCCAAAACCACATCTCTAAAACCAGAGTGTTCCCTCTACTTTCACATAACAAGTGTCACACTCAGCCTGCACCCAGACCAAGGCATTTAATGTAAMAGCATACGAGTAATACCAACTACCTAATAAATTAGAATACAATCAATCACAGCTTTAAATGTCCCGATTTTTGTCATATAAACCTCTATCAACACCAACTATTACGACTCACAGCAACCTTGCCAAAAACATGAAATAGAACTGATAACTTTACAAGCCTCTTAGTAAAATAAAACCACTCACTGAAGTGGCCACTTCATATAATGTTATTTTCATCACTGCAGATAATATCAATGAAGACAATTCATTYACTTCCCACATCTGATTCTCACTTAAAAAGTGATAAGTGATAAAAGATGCAATGCATTCTGCCTGAAAGCTAAAAACAGATGTCCTCACAACTACTGAAATATTACATTAAAAAATGTAAAGATCCTGCTCAATGTTGTCTTGAGCTTTGAGATTTATTATCACTCATAAATTACTGGTTGTTTCAAATTTATTTGAAATGTGAGCAAAAATCATACACACAGGCAGGTATTAAGAAGTTAGATAAATTAATAGTAAAATCTCAGATATTTAACCGAAACAATACAGTAAGATTACGGCATTTATAGCATAAATGTGTTTATTGTATATTTAGTCAAAATACGTGAGCTCATAATGTAGCATTTAAGTTCATAAATGTAGATCAGTTGAAAAACTGATATGTGATCGATGAATAAGAAAGGGGGAAAACACTGTGATTTTAAATGAAGCTTAATGTATTCAGGAATGCTAGAAGTGAATTGGTATGCATATAGTGCAAAAATATCCTGTTGTGTTATATTAGRTCTTTTCATGGATACAGTATGATTTGTCCTGCTTCCCTCCAAAAAACATAYAAAAACATGTTCAAAATCTGTCTTTTTTAATATTACTTTTCATATTCTATCCTTCTTATGGGAGACATACCGATTTCAGAGGACATTCTACTCTGAAAAGTGATCCCTAATATTAAGTGAGCAGTAAYATGGCAGTTTTTTATCTGTCTTATTCCATACCTGGGTAAATATCACAAGCAGGCCCTGGGGAGTGTTGCATGGTATTATCTACAGCATCATGAGGTGACAGGGCTGGCTGGAGGGGCTGGATTGCAAGGCAGTCGTTCAGGATGTCCTGGTCAAGCTCTGAGCTTGATCGTAACTGAAAAACAAGAGATAAAAAAGGAGGAATTAYAACAAGAGATTGATACGGACTAAAGAAAGGAAATAATCACAAAAACCTTTAAGACAGTGARAAATTACAATGAAGAACCACTGAGGTTAGAGAAAGAGAGTAAAATCAGAAATCTTTTCTTTTGAATCCTGATTAATACCATCCTTTCATTATASTAGGCACTTTTTGAATCTGAGGATGAAAACACTTCCAGATGCTTAACAAGACTGAACTCAGACAAGGACTACTTGTACAGGTAGGATCTCGGACAGATGGACTTCAGTGTGCTCTCTTGTCACACACTGCAAAAGAGACGAGTGTCCTGGTTAATGGGTACTGGAGAATTATCACATGTCTGACATTGCTTAGATCAGCAGAGGGGTCTTACAAGGAATACAAATATTTTCATGCTGGTTTAGTGCTCTGAATTGCTTCACTGCAGCACCAGAGGAGCAAAGGCACTCATGGCACTGGAAATGGAGGGACTGGGAACAAGCAACCAGGAATGGCAATACACAGGCAAGTCAGGATGGAAATGGGACCCCTTCATATGGGGGCCCCATTCTTAAACAGACTATGACTACATTTGTTTCACATTATGGCAGAACTGTGAGTGCTCTGTCACTGCCAGCAATCCTAGATGCATGCTTGGCCACTTGCCTGGTACCTGATCCATCAACAGCAAGTCTGGTAATCTGGCTGATCACCAGAACATTCACTCTACAAACAATTAATAAACACATTAATAACAAGTGTTTTCCTTTAGATGAAASTGGATAAAGAGTGTCAATGTGAGGCTCCAATAAAATACAGTAAAAGACTACAATTAAAAAAAAAAATCCCATCACCAAAACAAGGAAAAGGTTCCTGCTGAGCACCCTAACAAGGATGACAAAGCTGTAATGACAAACTACACCCTGAGTTTTAGGGCAGGTTATGGGTACTGCTGCAAGCTGCTGGGACTAATGCCTGTCCTGATCTGCTGCCTGATGTTAATGCAAGATATAACAAAAATTTGCCTGCTCCTTTCAGCCATTTTGGCTGGTGTATTCATTTAAAAGCCTGAAAAAGGAAGGCCTGTGCTTCCAGCGTCTGGACAATGCAGTGGCTGTTATGCCCATAAATATCCTGCCCTGTCATCCAGGTCATGCAGCATGATGGAAAAACTCTGACCKAGTGCAGTTGATGTGCTGCCCTTTCCCAAAAAGCAAATCTCACAGAGGCAACTGAGGCTTCTCCTCTCTTGTTTGGTACCCTGAGGGGTGAGCAGGTAACAGTAGCTAGAACATAACCTAGCACGTCTAAAAACTTTTTCTGGGGTGGAAGAAGAACAAGAAGACAAATTTCTGCACATCCTGTACTCAGAAATGAATCACAGAATGGTTTGAATTTGAAGGAACCAAGTTCCAACACCGCTGCCACATGCAGACACCTTCTGCTAGATCAGRCTGCTCAAAGCCCCATCCAGTTTGGCCTAGAACACTCCAGGGATGGGACAAATGAAGAAAGAAGAGGAAATGATTCTGCATACAACCATGAGAAGATCCATTGCCACAAGATGACCCTTGTGCCACAAGATGCTCATAAACATTCAAATTACTTTTGATAACATGCAGTAGTGCAAAACCATGGCAACTGAGTGGAGAGTTGGTCTCACACATCATAAGCACCTGACCCTGTAGCTGGAGATACTGCACAGCCTGTGACACCTACACAGAGTGTGCATGCTGCAGATGATCCCTCCTCTTCAAACCTTAGCCCATCATTATTAATCCCCAAGGYTCACTACCTCTGTGAGGTATATTCGTTATTCTAGAATTGGGTGAGGGAGTATGTATGGGGAAAGGGAGAAAGGGAGAAATACCCTGAGAAACTATTTTGTTTATTATCCATATTTACAAACTGTTGTTAAGTACAAATGTTTCTCACAGTTTGGCACATGCCATTGTCTGATATTATCCAATCATTGTGCTAGGTTTGCTGTTATCACTAGTAACACGGCTGCTTCATGAAACTAAGTGCTTGTGAAATTAGATTTCAAACATATCCATCCTCAATCCTTACATTTACATTATTAATAAGCATTATGTGAATTTAAATTTCTGTGGAATCGAAAGTAAATATAATACGAAGCATCCAATTTCTATAAAAGAATCAAGATTGTATCATACAGAATACACAATTGCAAAAGCTGCCTCTGTAAAGTTGTCTGAATTTTTTTTAATAAATGTATCAATTTTCTGTATCAGATGACACTCATGGRTAAAACAGTGAGAAAAACAAAAAAAAAGAGAGCTAAGTATTTATACATTAGTTACAAGAATTAAATAATAATATTTGACATATTTTTCTACTTTGCGCTGCTCTTCTGCAAGGAATCTTGCATTGGCAAATCCTTTGATATTTAGAACTAATCTCTCCTGGCTTGAATTTCCTGGCTTTCCAATGCTTATAAAAATGAAGAAAACAGAGGATCATCAACAGAACACCAAAGACAGAGAAAGAACCACTGTGAACAGCTGTGATCTGATTTCTGACCAAAGTTCTTATTTCATACACTGACTATTTTTATTAGTATTTACAACCACAAGGACTTTAAAGGGTTAGAAACACAGATTTTATAAACCTATGCATACACAAATGAAAGTGTATGTATTACAATWTATAATATTATATGTATATAAAGTATAATTTTAGAATTACAGGTATGTATTTAACGTAYKTATGATGAAATACCCTATGCAAGARGTGGGYATTACACTGACTTGTGTAACTRTAGATGCACACTGCTAATTAAATTGCCACTTAAAATACTACCACCAGCCTTCTATATAAACTCTCCCCACATAACAGATCCTGGGAATAATTTTACTGTCCCCTGCTGCGGGGTATACGTGTGATTTTCTCTTTAACAGTAATTACCATTGCAGCACTGGAAAGAGGAGAGCAAGGGCTAGAGGAGTCTTCCCTACTCTACTCCTTGAAGAGCAGGACCAGAGCAGCTGTTTCCCAAACTGGGCACAACTGGAAAACTCCATTTCCCATCACTACTGTCTTCTCTTGACAGGCAGTAACAATGCTTTCTTTGGTTGCTGCTGCTCCTTCCTCTGCCATTTAAAGCTCATTCTCCTTTCAATGTTTTTTCCAGTTCTTTCCTCTGAAAGGAGGCATAAACTGTGATTTTTTGGAACAAATGAGGGGAAAAGACAGATTCCAATTCAAATAGCTGATCAAGGCATTTCTTCTTCCAGTAAGGACATTGAGGGTCAAAAACCCCTCCACATCGGTCAAATATTTTGCAATATTTCACAGAACACTTGTAATGAAAAGTTTTATTTGAAACCAATGCATTTTGACAAATGCAAGGAAAAGAGAGCTATGATTTTTCTTTAGCATATCAAGAAACAGAACAGACAATGAAAAGACAGATGATCATAAAACCAAACAAAAGCCACGAACCATTCACTGCAAGCACAGAATTTTATCTTCAGTTAAAAAAGCTATAAAGGAGAAATAATACTTGACCAGATCTAACTGCTGCAGTCAATTTCTTGCTCTGTTCTAACAACACTGCATTTCTTGTCCAGTCTGGACTGTAGACTTATCATCCAGCTGCAAAAGAAAACTGACACTGTCTCTATGACTTTTACATGAATCATATCCCAGCACAGATCTCCCAGCGCTGTGGCTGAAATACATCACTTCCCCATGATCATYTTGTTTCTCTCATGATCACTCAGCTGACCACTTGTACAATCATGCTGGGACTGAAAACTTGGCAATCTGTTCTTAAGAACTGTAAGGCTCTAAAGTTACCTCACTGGAGGGTGAAATCAGTGACTGAAAATTCTGCCRTGCTGAGCACAGCCATTTTCTGTGTGCTGTAATGTAACCTAAATTTATGGCTGACCAAAGTGCAAGTTAGCAATAATTTGCTCTGCTCACTTGACACTTTACTGTATTTAATATTTGTTCTAAATAATAGGTTTTGAATTTTAATAGCTCATTTTTATGGTAAGACTTGTGAAGTTCTGTATTTGAAAATACAGAAACATTTCCATTATCACAATGTGGCACGTTTTCTAATACACAAAACAAACAGTTTGTCAGTCATGATATACAGCTGTTTTACTTCTGTGACAATTCACTAATATGTATCGCCTTTCAGAACAACAGATGGAAATTCTACTCCTGTACACTTTGGGTATGAATCAATAATTAYCCAAGACTAAATGAAACAAGCACAAGTAATTAGATGGGAATAAGATTCTTATTCCTCAGTTTTCAATTTCATTATATTTGAGTTCAAAAGCAGAGGTATGCTGCTGATTTGATGCATGACTTAATTCCAGAGAAAATGTCTCCTTACAAGAAAATATAATTTTTTCATTTTTCACCCACCAATGCATGTTTTTGTACCACTCAGCTAGTTTCTTCAGCATTGCTCCTGTACAACAGAAGTCAGACACCTTCAAGGAAAACATATGATAGGTGTGTTTATGAATACACTTCATAAGAAAAGAAGCAGCATAGTTTGGGAAATTCTAAACCACACAAAATAGTTCAGTAACTTCAAAACTTGCCTATATGTATTCAGATTAACTCCATTTAATTCTTAAGTGAAGTCTAGACTCCTTCACTCATTCAAATATGCTGGTTATCTCATCAAATCATAGCATTTTAAATCTTACTCACATAAACATGTGCTTAATGGATTATTTCTGTATGTAAGAGAGACATTATTTTGTTTATTTTTATGCAGGTTAGCTATATGTCTGCCACGTCTAAAACCACCCAAAAAAATYCCAAATACAGCTAAATTTCATTGACAGGAAGTGTTTCACAATAACTGTAATAGCTCTGTAGATGTGTTTTTACTTTCCATATAAAGTCAAGGAGGAATTTCTGCTAATCACAGTCTGTGCATTAAGTGTACTAAGAACTACTTGTCAAGTACAGAGCAAGTCAATAGTTTTTATTCATTTTCA